CACAGGGTGATCCGTGCAAGGCAGGCTCAAGTGTTCTCTTGTCGCAGTTGCTGGGGAAGATGATTTCGTGCCTGTCGATTGTTCCCTGGGCCAGGCTCCACTCCAGGGCTCTGCAGTGGCTACTTCTGCCCCACCAGAGGGCCAACAGGAGCAACTCAAGCATGCTGATTACCGTTCCTCCGACCATGAAGAGGTCTCTCTGATGGTGGATGTCGCCTGCGATCCTCAAAGGACACATCTTCAGGGAGCCCGACAGGATGGTCGTCACCACCGACGCCAGTCTCTCTGGCTGGGGAGCGCATCTGGGCCAACTCGTGGTACAAGGCAAATGGTCCGTGTCGGAATCACGCTGCAGCATCAACCTTCTAGAGCTAAGGGCGGCGAGGTTGGCCCTTTGTCACTTCCATCTGTCGGTTCGTCGACGTCACGTCCTCCTGATGACGGACAATGTGGCCACCAAGGCGCACATCAACCGCCAGGGTGGCACCAGATCCAAGAGACTTATGGCGGAAGCAGAAGCACTGGGCTGCTGGGCGGAGCGCTACCCGGAGTCCATCCGCTCCGATCACATCTCGGGGGTCGACAACACTCGCGCGGACTGACTGAGCAGGACTACTATTGACCCTGCCAAGTGGCAACTCGACCTGGCCCTCTTCTGCCGCCTGACATACAAGTTTGGTCTGCCCCTGATGGACCTCTTCGCCACCAGGGAGAACGCCCAACTGGAGAGATTCCTTTCCCGATTCCCAACCCCGGGGGCGGAAGGAACGGACACTTTGCGGTGCCGCTGGCCCCGGGGTCTGCTCTACGCCTTCCCTCCACTTCCTCTCCTGCCACAAGTCCTATCCAAGATCATTGCGGAGGAGGCGGAGGTGATTCTCGTGGCTCCTCATTGGCCCCGGAGATCGTGGTTTGCCGACCTGGTCAGCCTGTTGGTGTCCCCTCCGTGGCGGATTCCTCTGAGTCAGGTCTCCCTCCGCCAGGGGGTCGTTGTCCATCCGGATCCCCAGTGGTAGCAGTTGGCCGTCCGGCACTTGAGGGGGACCTGCTGAGGAACGAAGGTCTCTCAGAGGAGGTGGTACGCACCATACAAGCTGCTCAGTGTCCCTCCACGACGAGAATTTACAATGCTACATGGGCCTCCTTTTTTGCTCCTTCTGGACAACATAAACAAGGGGAGGAGGAATAACCGTAATAAATATTTTTAACCATAAAGCAGTTTTTGCAGTGGGTGATGGACTATATGAAAAACTTATGATAACCTTTTCAGGATGAAATCAGCTACAGTGAAAAGAAGGCGCAGATGGCAAAATGTGTACAGGTCCTGTTGGATTCATATTTCTGTCAGTTATATTAGCCACGGCAAATTTGGCTCTCCCATTAGTAATAGATTGCTATGTGTGTAAAGCTATATTTTGAATAACTTCTTTCATTTTGTCTCTAAGAAGATAAGGTAAGTGATCTTACCCCCAAGCGGAAAGCAGTTTAATTCAGAGTTCACAAATCAGTGAAATTGATTCAAATGCATGGTAGAGAGATTTTATCTAGACAGTATATTTCACAGTGTCTATCCCACAAATATGAAACATTTGGAATGCATAAAAAGCAGTAAAAAAGGAAGAGGTCTAATGGTAGGTATAATGCAAAATTCTCTGTTTATGGAAAGAACCTGGAAAAGAAATAGCTGTAAATTGAATCTCTTCCACTCTGTGCTAAGCTTATCCAATCCCCAGCATTACTTCTTCCTTGCTTGAGGTTACTGGTATAAATGGACTCCCATCTTCATTGATAAATGAATAAGATTTTACTAGAGAGTAACTGATCATCACATTATTCAAAACCCATAGCTAATTATTTGAACAGTTTGATTGGAAGTCATGCTTCTATGACCTTGGTCTGATCCTGCACCCAGAGCTTAGTTTTTCCACATGTCAGAATGGCCAGCTGACGTTGTAAGCCTTCTTGCATTGAGCTGCTACTTCTTAGAATCAACTCCTACTCAAATTATTTTGAAGTCTCATCACATAATTCTTAAAAAAAATCAGGACCTTTATGAAATTGGAAGAGCAGTATTGCTGTATGCAATGCAGATAGTCCTAATGTACAACCCTTTTTTTACAGACTGTTGAAGTTACAATGGCACTGAAAAAGTGACTTATGACCATTTTTCACACTTATGACCGTTTGCAGCATCCCCATGATTATGTGATCAAAATTTGGATGCTTGGCAACGGGTTCATATCTGTCACAGTTGCAGTATGCCAGGGTGTCATGTGATCCCCTTTTGTGACCTGACAAGCAAAGTCAACAGGGAAGCCAGCTTCACTTAACAACCATGTTGCTAGCTTAATTACAGCGACTCACTTAGCAACTATGGCAAGAAAGGGCACAGCATGGGACAAAACTCACTTAACAACTATCTTGCTTAATAACAAAGTTTGAGTTTAATTGTGGTCATAAGTCAAGGACTTTTGGTACTGGTTTAAATTACAGTAGTGCTGGGATTGTTTGTATGTCTGTTTCTGTGTGCACATGCACAGCAAGAATACTTGGAGATATGAAGAGAACTGTATGTCAGAAGCAACAGAACCTCCATTTTAGATGCTTCAGTTGGTTTTCCTATCCCTTTAGTGTTCTGCTTCAGGCAATGGAGTATCTTCAACCAGGAGAGAGAGACAGAGACAGACAGAGAGAGGGGGGGAAGGGGAACAGTGAAAGAGAGACAGAGACAGAGAGATACGGAGAGAAAGAGCACATTACTGCATTCAGACCCCAACAAGATGATTATGAGACTAAGCAGTTACATAGTTTAATCCATTTCATTGGTTCGAGGTTTCTTGGTCTGGAAGTTTTGCAAATTTCTTGAATTCTTTTGTTCTTTATTGATTGCTTCTCTTTTTTACTTTTAAAAACAAGAGTGTGATGCAATTTCCCCCTCCCCATTTTTCAGGTTCCTTTTATGTATTTTGCAAAAATGTATTACATAACATTATTACTAATATTGCAAAAATAATGAAAACTGATGCTTTTCAGTGTTCTGTACTAGCATTTGCTATATACTTTGTTTTCATCAAAGTCTTGAAATCTGTATACACTGTTTTGGCTTTACATAATTGTTTGTTTAATGCATGTGAGTAAAAATTACAGTTAACACATGGCTAAAAATGATTATGCCTCACATATTCATCAGATGTAGATATTCTTATTCGAATAAACAACATAGTTCCAGTCTTCTTTCTATTATCCCAACGTGAATGACATTTTTTGAAGCTATTTCTTAATTAATAGGTTTCTCTATGTTAGAGTCTAATATATAATTACTGAATACTAATCTGTACTTGGAGAGCAGGTAAAATGATTCACTTGACAGCAAATATTGAAAATTCTGTGTCCTCACATGAGATCCTAACAAGATTAATAATACAAAAGAGGAAGAGGAGGAAGCTTTATTTTAATGGCTAGTGCCTACAACATCAGCAAAATAATGTCATATACTTCCTGAAAAGGCTGCTGACTTTAATCCTTGCCTTCATGCCAATATTTGAAACCACCCTTTGAAGCTCATGTGTCAAATCTTCATTTAAGCCCAGCATAAAGATGCCAACTGAACTGTTTTCCTATAGATTTTTGTAGCACTGTTAGGAGTTTGTGTGGCAATTCAATCTGGATGTCTCTCTTTTGCTTTGTCTCCAGGCTAATACATGGAGGACAGCTGTTAAATGGATTGGCAGGTCCAACTGTAACAAGTGCTTCTCCACTTCTTTCTACTACGTGGTTTTCACCAGATGAACGTGCCACTGCCACAGCTATTGCATCATTGATCGGTTACCTCGGTGGAGCATGTGCATTTTTAGTAGGACCTTTGGTAGTTCCAGGGCCAAATAGCACATCAGCAGATCCACCAGTGTTTGGAAATAGTCCTGAATACATAAAGGACCGCATTGAGGCTGTATTGTTTGCAGGTATCTAATAAATAATTTTATACTTTACTACATTATGTATATCTGTTATGGGTTTGCTACTGCCCTCTAGTGATTTATCTGCCAAAAAATGTCTCTTGCTACAAGAATAGAGATAATAAAATTACTTGCTTTTTATATTAAAATACCAAACCCTAGTTTTGTGTATTAGCTGTAAATATTATCTTCTTGAATGTCACCAACCCTACCTATTCAATTAACATGTCAAACATTTTTCCACTAGTATGTGTTTGTATTAAAATAGAATTGACACTCCTATTCTTTTTTTGGTATTATGCTGCCAGTTCTGCTTTTCAGACATCAATAAAATACAGCCCTCATATAAAATGTACCACAACCAAGCTTTGTGTAAACATGAATTGTAACTAGTTAATATGTGCAGAGCAAGTACATGAAATCATTCATAGGCTACACAATATTTACAACTAATTTAAAATGTGTCTAAAATGAAAAGTTAGATTTCTAATTAGCTTTTTCATGTATCACACAAGCTTAAATATGAAATTTTAGTTGACAATAACTAGATAGACTAATTCCACAGTTTAAAATAGCAGTGGAAACAAGTTTAGGCTATGGTCCATATCCTTCCCTGTTTTTCTCTGTATGACCCAAGGAAGGCCATTTGGGAATTAAAGCCAGAATATATATCCTGTAGCCATTGATGGACAGCAAGTTTGGCATAATAGTTAAGCCACGAGGACAGAAACCAGGAGTTTATGACTTCTAGTTCAATTTAGGCACAAAGCCAGCAGCATCTTTGAACAAATCATTTTCTAAGCCCTAGGACAGTGGCGACAAACCTTTTCTGCACAGCCAAAAAGGGAATGTGCACGCTTGTCGGCTGCAAACCTGGAAGAGGAGCTGCCCAGGGAGCATGTGCGCACTGGAAAATGAACTACCGGTTTCTGATGTGCGCATGTGCGCCAGTCAGCTAGTCTTCTGGTTACTGTCATGCATGCACATGTGACTATCAGCTGGCTGGCACACATGCTTATGCTGGAAAATGGAAAACCAACTCTTCCAGTTTCCAGCACTGCCACATGCTTGAAGGTCAGCTGATTGTTGCACATGCATGCGCGCCAGAAATCCAGAAGAGGAACAGGTGACATCGGGCTTGTCAGGCGACATGGCTCCGTGTGCCATTGAGGCACATGTGCCATAGGTTTGCCATCACAGCCCTAGGAAGTCAGTGGCAAATCACTTCCAAAAATTTTGCCAAGAAAACTATAGGTACTAGTCCCAGCAGTTGCCAAGTCAACATTGACTCAAAGATATACTCACACCTACACAATTCATTGATGTCACTTGGTTCCAGTAGCAATGTCATATTCTGAGGTATCTTGAGATGGAACACATGTTAGAGATGTATTTTTGGTCTCAATTGTCCCAAATTTTCCTACTTAAGGAAGTTTCAAAGCAGTAGAGATTGCCCCTATTGTAGATACTCCACTTCAACGTTCTTCAAGTGTAAAGGTCCAGTTATTAATTTGCATTGTAAATGCATCTGATGGGTGTAAATATAGATAAAAACAGGAGTTGAAGTTTGGGTTAGAGTTTTGGATTAGAGAAGCTTCATTGGAGATCTCATGGAAGATGAGTAAAGGCTTCAACTCTTCTCTAAAATAAACAGGGCGATATAGCTTCCATTCCTGGCTACGTTAAAGAAAAGAGAAATATTTCTGTAGTCGGTTTTCTGTTACATAGATTTCATTTGAAGTAAGAGTGAAGTAGCCTTCCAGATATTGCTGAACTACAATTCCCAGCACAGCATGGTCAATGGAAGTTGAATTCAAGAACATCTGGACGCTTAAACATTTCTATGAAGCATCCAGATGGTTTGTACCTTTATCTTTAGAAAATCAAATTATATGCACACTGATGTATTCCAGTAGACTCATTATCTGTTTCTATGAATTCTCTGTGAAGGTTTCTTTTATTATTTATTCGTGTTCAAAAGTTCATTTTCTTTACATAATCCAATAGATTTTCAATTTAACAGAGATTAAACACCTAATAGTGAGGGAAGGGGTTCTGTTAAGGCAGAATGTCTGTTAAATCCAAATGGGTTTTTGTGCATCTTACATATTCTATGCATTCATAAAATGGGAATAGGATTTTAAGAATTGAATATTTTATTTTTGTACAACATATATAGCAGATTTTGTTTTTGAATTTTGAGTCTGCTAAACCAAGGGTTTGACCAATCAAAAGATTTGCTGTACTGTTTATTTCTGCTGGCTGGTATATGTTGCTCATCCCTTTCATTTGAAATTAGAGTATGACAGTCTTGTTGCAGCTTAACTTTCCTTACATTCAATAGTATGATGAAAATATAGCTCAGTGTTGATTTGCATAGAGTAACTGCAGTTTTCTTTCAGGAAAAACTCATGGAAGTCTCCTATATTTCCTTTCCCTTAAAGTGTTTTTATTTCCTCATTCATTTCAGTCCCTTAACTGTTACGCCATTAAACTTATTATTAATTTTCTGTTATTTGAATTTGTAGCTTTAGTTTGCTATTAATTCTTAAAGTAAATATATTGACTCTTTTAAACTAAAATTTATGTAAATGACTTCAGTGTATACCTTTGTCATTTTATTTCACTTCTGTGATGAATGCCAGTTACTGCTATTGTTTATTGAAAGGATAGGTGATGAGACTGTCAATGATTGCAATCAGACAATATTTGTATGATCATTCCATGGATCTAGTAAGCTGATTTCCAGATCATATTCTTTGTTCATTCCATAGCATTTTAAAACAAGTTGGTAGCATTATTTTTGAGCAATATATGTGTATCGTATTGTAATCCATTTTCCTCCTGGTTTCTTTAATTGTGTCCCCATAGAATTTGGCATTGTGGCTGTGATATTCTCTGCAGCGCTAGCTTACTTCCCATCACGTCCTCCATTCCCACCCAGCGTGGCTGCAGCTAGTCAGAGGCTCAGCTACGGAAGAAGTTTTTGTAGGCTGCTCAGGTATGTATATGACAGGGACGTGCAGTCACTAGAGGCAGGGGAGGCGGGGCCTCACCAATCTCCTCAGGAAAAGGAAAGAATTTTAAAGAATTTTTTTTAAATAATTAAAGCCAAGGTATGGCTACCAGACTCCAAGTCACAGTGCCTTGGAATCTGCTTAGTATTAACTATAGGAGGAGGCGAGAGAACTAGTGGCCTTCTTTGCATAAGGAATTTTTCACCTTTTAAAAGTTAAGCAAGGGTTAAAAAGCGAAAAATTTTGTATGCAAAGGACACACTGATTCTCCCGCCTCCTGATCTGGGA